CGGCTGCATGGTGTGCAGCTCCTGCGGGTGCAGCGGGAACTGCGGCTCCAGCGGGATGACCGTCAGCTACGCCAACTATTTCCAGCACCCCTTTTCAGGGCCTTCCATGTTTACTTTCCCGTTCCTGCCCTTCAACCCCCTGTGCAGCAACGGCTACATCAACACGCAGCAGTACAACAGCAGCACCACCTTCCCCGTGGTCCACACCCCCTACAACAGCGGCCTCGCCCCGGACTCCGTCATGACTGGGCAGTCGACCTTTGCTGTTCCACCAATGCAGAACTTCATGGCAGAGGCAGCAGGGGTGTATCAGGCACAGGGAATGATGGGGAACAGCAACGGTTCCAGTCACAAAAAAAATGGGAATCTCTCCTGTTACAACTGTGGGGCCAGTGGTCACAGGGCTCAGGACTGCAAACAGCCTCCGATGGATTTCAATCGACAAGGTAAAAGCAGGTGGAGGGAGCTGATGTGGAAGGTGGCTCACCCAGAGCCTTGCCTGTAGCCAAGGGGAGTGGCTGCACACCCAGAGGACAGGGGGAGGCTGGTGGCAGTGCCATGTCTTTTAAAAATCTTGCTGAAATCTGCTGAGTTTGTGCCTGGAGAAGAGACAGCTCTGGGGAGACCTCACAGCAGCCTTCTGATACCTAAAGGGAGCCTGCTGGGGAGGGGCTTTTCACCAGAGAGGGCAGTGATAGGACAAGGGGTAATGGTTTTAAACTCAAAGAGGGGAGATTTAGATTTAGATTAGACATTTAGATTAGATGAAGAAATTCTTCACCATAAGGGTAGGAAGGCACTGGAACAGGTTGCCCAGGGAGGGTATCCAAGCCCCCTCCCTGGAGGGGTTCAAGTCCAGGTTGGATGAGGCTTGTGCAGCCTGGTCTGGTGGGAGGTGTCCCTGCTCATAGCAGGTTGTTACAGAAAGTTCCGAGATGTAACAGATGTGAGAAGGTTGATATTATTTAATTCTTCTGTGTCCTCTCCCCCAGGTACGTTTAGGCTGAAATATGCTCCTCCCTCTGAAAGTCTTGACTCCACAGACTGATATTTTATCATCTGGCAAGAAAATACTGTAAGCCATGGAGATACAAGGAGATTGAAACACAAAACTGAGACGTCCAGTTGCTGTTAAGCTTAATGTATTTTTTAATCCAAAGGTGCTTTACTTTATTAGACTAGGTAGAAAATCTAGCTTAGGGGTGCATCAGAACCCACTCATGATTGCCAAATTCAAGCTTGGATCTTCTTGTTGGAACTTCTGACTACGTGTCATAGGACTGATGGGTACTGGATGGATGGTGGAGCTGGCCAGCTGCATTTTCTGTTGCAAGTACAACATCTGAGGGACTTCTTTTGCTGGAGAATGTTGCCATATGTGGACTTTTGAAGGTGGAATGTCTAACTCCAGGGCAGCTACATTCTGAAGTGGAAGCTGGAGGCTGAAGGTAGGAGTGGCCATTCGCCAGAAGGACTTTGGCACCCCTGGGCTAGGTAAAATGTCTACTTTTTTTCAAAAGTGATCAGGCACTAATCTCTGGGATTTTTAAGGATTGCACTACAGAAGAATGTAAAACTCTTCAAGCTTTCTGCACTTTGAGCAGACCGTGTCACTCTGAGACCAGTGCAAGAGGCAAAGAAGTTCCAACTTTTAAAAATTGGCACCAGCAGGCAACGTGACTTCACTACACGATAAAAATCCTAAGTCAGTCTCTCCCTCCCAAAAGAACACACACAGCAGTTTTGGTTCCTTCTGGAAACAAAACTTGTGCTTCGTTGTCTCACTTATTACTAGATAGTGCTGGGTTCCCAGCAGTGGAATAAACTTAGTTTCCAAGGGTCCAAGTCCCAGAGACTCCAGAGTCATAAAGGCTTCAAGGATATTTTCCTGTAACACACAAAACAACCTTTACGTCCTGTTACTGTATATAGGTCTCTTTCACAGAAACCTCATTATTCTGCTTTTGTAAATGAATTTTAAACCATCCTAAAGAAAACCCCAACAACTCTGGCAGCAGAGTTTGTAAGCTTTTGCTTTACTTTATATAAAAAAACAAACCCCTCTGACTCCTACCCCCAGGCTTTTGATACAGGATTCAGAAGTGGTAGAAGTCAAACATGTAAAAGGTAGTAAACTTCATTATTATCAAGACTTTGAAGGATTCCTTGTCAGCCTCCTTCGTTGCAATAGATTGTAGATGAGTAGCTTTGGTGTTAACTACTTAGCGTACATAATTTGTGGATGACAAATCTAAATTAGGGCTTGAGAGGAAGCCAAACAAACCTTGAACTGCTAATTTGAAACAGTTTGGTCCTGTCTGGTTGAAAGAAGATACTAATCCTCATGGCTCACCCCAGGAATCTGACAGCATGACACGGGTGAGGCCTTCTCTTTAAAATGTCTGACAGAGATATTTGCATACTGTAATTTGGAAGACACCTTTAAAGTCTAAAGCCTTGTTTACACTTGGAGGTATTTCTTACACCAGTTTAAACCACACCAGGATGAGTAGGATTCGTAGTGGCGCAGTTGACTTTCGCTTGCACGTGAGGGAAGTCACATCCAAGGAGGAGGTTTGGAAGTGGTGCAGAGCTGCCCTGAGGAGATGGGGCCTTAGCAATGCAAGGTCAGTGTGAGGGGGTCATGCAGGGCCTGGACTGTCGAGACCTTCCTGGGCCACCTTCATAGGAATGTTCTGGGCCATCCCTTAGTCCCGCTTCCTTGGCGGGGAGGATTAGTGAGCATCGCTGGGAAGGTGGTGACCTGAGGGGGCGAGGAACCAGCCTTGCCCCAGGTAGAGACCTGCAGCTCAGAGCAGATTTGGCATCTAAATTTGTGTTAACCTTTGGTTAAAAAAAACCATCACTTTTTTTATTCCTATGCAATGAAAAAAAAACAAACAACCCCAGAGATCTGAGGTGTGTAGTGTCAGCCCGGCTCACACCACTGCCGCGTTGCCCAGGCCGTGGAAATGCTCCTGTTTGCTCTGCCTGCCTCTTGAGGAGGCCACCTGTGTTCTCCCAACCAACCTCCAGACCTACAACACTAAAGTGATGAAAACTGACAATGCAATTTACTTTGCCTTAATGAGCTTGAGACAATGGTAGGAACAATCTGTCACACTGCAGCACGCTGAAGGAAACCTGCAGTTTCCAGGGACGATGTTTACTATTCACAGCTTTGAGGGTCTCTCCAGTGGCCTGGAACATGTGCTGAAAGCCAAACCTTAACTTTTTTTTTCTTCTTTTTTTTCACTTTTTTAAACACAATATTTTAAAACTGAATTGTATTTAAAGAAACTGTGTTTCGACACACATGCAAGTGTTAAAAACCCTCTCAAAATAGCAAAAATCAACAGCAAAAAACCCAGTTATTTCTGTACCAGCTGCATTTTGTTTTAATGCCCAAGGCTGGGCACAGTCTTGTCTCATGTTCATCACAGAGTCAAAACCATCACAAAAAGGACTGTAAAACTGAACTTGTGTCCAGCAAAACTGTTTCATTCCTTTCTTCAGAGCTTTTTTTGGGATTGTGTTTCCTTTGTGTAAAGTTAAGGCTGATGTTTCTTAAAGTGGCTTATGTGTACTTTTAGGTGACGTTTTTAAATGGTGAAGTCTGGTTTTAGAGTCAGTTCAAATTCAGAAGTCTTGAGTACCTTAAAGCAAGACGAGTGTAACAGAGGAATGTTTGAGGAGCCAGCAGCAATCTCAGAGCCTTCTCTACATCAGAGGGAGTTGTGGCTTCAGACCTGCTAGGGAACGCTAGCGAACGCTGTCCGCTTTGGACCAAGAACAACCAAAGTTGGGAAGTCCACACAGAGCACTTTAGTTCCATAAAATAATCCTTAATCTGTTTTTAAAAGGCACAAATCCATCTTTTTACCCCTGAAATGTAAGGCAGCTTGTTTTAGAATAGTAGTTCCAGCTTCACTGGCTGAAAAAAGCAGTTCTTAAAACCTATTTTTATACATGGGAAGATGGAGATTTCAAAGAATGCTATTTATTCCTATCTTTGTCCTGAAAGTATAAAAAGAATGAGTTCTCAAAATGGATTCCACTGTGGAATAGAAATGATATTTTAAGTGTTAAGACAGAAGGGAATCCCAAGTCATCTCCCTGCAGGGGCACGGAGAAGGTAATGATGAGTCTTCCCTCAGAGGAGCGAACGCTGCGCAGCTGCCCGGGCGTCGGGGGTGGGAATATTCAAAACAGGATGGAAATTCCAGCAAACTCCTCCTTGCACTGGCAGTTGGCAAATGAAGCATTAGTAAATATGCCAGGCTGGACGCTGAACAGCAGGAGAGCAAAGAGGGAAGCCTCATTTCAGCAAGTGAGGCATTATCAGAGAGTTCTACCCTACTTTTCCTTACAATACCCTGTCACACTCCACTTTTTGTGAAATGTTTTTGTACCACTGTCATGAAATCTTGGCAAGTTGAGCATCAGACTTCCAAAAATAACGGTTTAACACTAGACCTGTATCACTCTCAGAATTCTGTCTCGTGCTGTTCCTCGCTGGCAAGCTGCAGGGTGAAGGTACTCAGAAGTTAAGCATAGTTTGTGGTCTTCAGCAGAGCAACGCTCCTCCCCAAAATGAAAACGCCATCACCCGACACCCCTGCGTATGGGTTCTTTGTGTGTGTATTGGAGATCATGGACACTTGGGAGCTGTGGATTCAAGGTGGTCCTAGAGATGGATGTGGGCAAATCTGGCCAGAAATCCATGTCACGGAGCAGTTGCAAGAGTCCAGGAAACAAGTTTTGCTGGTTGAGGCCCCGACCACCAGCCCTGCCCCCCCGCCAGCTCTTGTAACAAACCCTTGGAACAACCCGTTTGCTCTCTTCAATTTTTCTTAAATAAGCAAGAAACATGTTGGTACTGAAGCAGAAAGCAAATCCTGTGTGTTTTCAAGTGCAGATTAACAGCTTCTCTTGGACATAACTTTCCACTAGGAATGAAGGAAACTCCTGCTCCCATTTGAGCCATTTCTTTTACTTCGGTCAATTCTAGTATTACAAATTGTGCATGTAACTTTATAAATATTTTAAATAGTTTTGTAAATATTTAATATTCAGCTAATTTGATTTTGAATTGTAAATGTCAAGTATTCTGGTATTGGGATTTTTATGTTTTATTATACTTTGTTAAAAGTAAAATTGTACATTTTTAGAATGTTTTTATCTGAGTAAATTTAATGTATGGAAAATAAAGAGTTAAACAGAATAATTTTGTGTTTTGTTTTGTTTAAAGGGGCTTCATCTGTGTGGAGGCTTCTCCAGCTTGGCAGCTATCAGGGACTTTTTGTTTTTCCCAATTCTCTTTATTTCTTTTGCTGTCTCTCCACCCCCAGACATCTGCTGGTGAATCACAGATCTGTGCAGTGTTGCAGTTGCTCTGCTCTCCTCGACTCTGCTTCCTGCTG